TTATTGACATTTAAGGAAAAAAATCATGAACAATCAAAACTTCCCCCTAACAAACTTTTATCCAATACCTTATAGGCACCAATATTCAAATTTTAATACTAAGCTTTTCCTTCATATCCGATCCCACAATTCCTTCAACATTTATACAGCATTAATACATAACTTATTCAAGCATCCCAAGTTCATTCCTTCCACAAGATTAATATGATTTAAATACAATTCAAGCCCATGCTACTTTCTCTTCTTCCAGAACAAAATTCTAGCTTGCTTAACCGTACTATGATTGCCTTCAATTAAATTCACATAGCATATTGAACAGAAAATAAATATAAATTCGCACTAATCATTCTTTCACACACACATAGAATCAGCCAGGAGGAACAAATTACAACATCGCCCATTAAAACACACGCACGTAGGGGATTCAGTGAAGGGGAAAATTCTAAGCTGCTGCCCGGATTCAACCTCAATAGAAAAGGTATTAAAAAAAGAAGAAATTAACAGAAACAATGGAGGTGAAAAATCATGAACCACCAATAGTGCCCACAGCCATACCGAACTAGTGAGAATAGCGATAATATAGGGAAGGAAAAAAATTTCGACAACCATGCTTAAAAGTGGAGATTCATGGCAAGTATAGATCAAGGAAAGAAAAAGATAAAATTCAACACAAAACAGGGGAGCGAAAAACTCACGATTCGCACCACAACATTGTGGTTTCGAGGGACATCATAGCAACGGTGAGCGAAACTTCTATTCTCATTAATAGCATGTTAAATAGCAAAGAATAGAAGTGGTTGGATCGAGGATTTAAAGCTCTGAGCAACAAATTTTCTCTTGCTCTTAGACGGAACAAAAGCTCCAATAACACCCACAATAGAGAAATGAACACAAGGGGAGGAGCGAAGAACAGAAAGGAAAAAGAATATTTTTCGGCGACTCACACCACTGATGACGAGCTAGATGGTGGAGAGAAGAGTTCAAATGGTCAAAATTTCCAGATGCAGGGCTGAAGCTCTCTCTCTCTCTCGCGTCTGTCCCCTCACCAACAAAGAAGGAAGAAATAAATATAACATATGAGAGTTGGTGGGAAAATTATAATGAAGACCCCTCAAATTTTTTTTCTAATTATTAATATTATATTCTATAATAAAAGGCAAAGGCATTTTAGCTCTTTCTCCTCATAAAAGAAAATAAACTAACATTTAATTTAAATAAAATTCGAACTCTAAATCTCCATATAAGTAGCTAGTATCAATTTTGCTAATCTACTATTCCTCACTTGTCCTAAAATTAAGATAAATAAATTAAATATCAATTAGGAGCAAATTTATTTAATTTTTAAAATTTTGGGTCGTTACACAAACGTGGCTTATGCCACAAAAATAAATGTGGACATACAATCCACGAGGGTAAGTAACCAAACGCCGCCAAAACCACAAAACAAACGTAGACACATAGTCTATGAGGGTAATGCTAACCAAATGCGGCCGAAACCATGAAACAAACGTGAGTACGATGCTCATGAATAACCATCCCTCCATTCCACATGCGTTGGCCATCGCATAGGACTAGCACCTCCTATAAGCAATCTGCTAGCTAGGTGAACCATGGCGTGTCAAGGGCTAACGAAACGGCCGTTAGCAACCAGTGTTCCATATAAAGTCCCTTTTCTTTTTAAAAAAACCATTTTCAAACATGCAAGAAAATTATCACTTTCAAGATACAGTTCTCATTCTCAAAATCAAACTCACATGAATACTTTTAAGCATTAAAACTTGCCAGAATAAAATTTCATATCTAATACTCATGCTCGCATTTATCAAACAATAAAAAAATTTAAAGTTAAACTCGCAAGAATCATTCTCTATATCAATCCAATATTTAATAAAATAAAAATCTCATAATCAAAGTCCAAACTTGATCTAATTGATCAAATAACATTTCAAATTTGGTAAAGTTAATTTATCAAAATAAAGCAATATTAATCAACAAATATCCAATAATCGCATAAATGCTATTAAAATGATGTCCAGAAAAACGTAAATTTTAGTAAAGGAAATTTTAATGGAAAAAAAAAATCAGTTGGGACGCTATCTACTTACCTTTAGTATGCCCAAGAACCAAAATTCATTTCTTTCGACTTCATCCATGTCTCCCTTCCTCTAAACACCCTATTCAAGGTGATGAACAATTTAATGGCCTTACTTTAGCCAAATGAATTATCTTCCAATCTTGGTAACACTATAACCAATCGAACTCTAAATCATTATAATTTAATCAACCCAATCTCAATTTCTTTAATCCTTTCAATCCTTTACATGTCTACCTTTTTAAGTCTACCTTTCTATTTGACACTTTGATTAGATTTTAATCTGCCTTCCAATTCTTATACTAAATTTTAATCAAGTGTGTATATATATATATAATTTTTTATTAATCACAATATAACCATCACATATAATTTGCCACAATAATCAAGATTTCTCCCTTACAATAACAAGTTGCTTAAAGCATGATTGCCATTCAAAATAAGCTTTCTAATCCTCAATTCAAACTTACTTCAACACTATTCCTATCCTTGCTTATGCACAGCCACAGAGAAAATAGAAAAGAACAAATTTTTATCCACTCCAATATCTACGTATAGACTGGCCGAGGAAAAGAAGACAGGTGGTATTCACCCATCTATGGAGCATATGAGAATTTAAAAAGGGCAAACTCAAAATATCGTCCAGCCTTATGAGCACGACAATGACACCAAAAATAAGGGAGAATGACTGACAATCAATGAAGTTGAAGATTGAAGTTTGAACAACCAACAACAATAAAAAATAAGAGAAGCTGAACTTACCACACACATATACTCAACACCCATGCTGAGAAGAATAAGGAAATTGAAAGCTGAGAAAACACGCACAACATGAGCTCACACGACCAGCAAACAGGAAAGTAGAGGAGAACAGAAATCATGTAGCTCAGCACTTCAAGTTGACAGCATAGATGGAGAATCTATGGTGAAGATCCAGGACGCACATCGACGGCAAGAATCAGAGAAACAAGTCAGAAATGAAGAGGAAGTGGTGAAGCAAAAACCAAACACTTTCTCTCTCCTCGTGCTCTCACTCCTTCACCAAAATAAAGACAGCACGAACAGGGGAAGATGTGGAAGAATCCAACAGCCTTCAGCAGCAAAAGATCTCCCACTTCATACAAACACTAGCAACAAATAGATAAGAGAGGACGAAAAAGAATCCAGCGGCACGCAAACATTCATAGCAAGACATGAATAAGAATAGCGAAGGCAAAGCAGTATACGAGGAAGACCGAGATAGGGAGCACGATTGAGGACCTGGGCATTGCATGGAGGTGATGAGCTCCTACTTCGCCGGCGGCGCTGGAGATGGTGGGTAAAGAAGGAGAAGCCGGGAGAAAGTGGAGAGTTCCAGACTTCTGTTATCTGGTTTTAGAATCGTAATTGGAGAAAAGGAAACATAACGAGAAAGGAAAAAAAATTGTGAGCTCTCTCTCTCTCTTCTGTACACACCACCGACTAAGAAGGTCCAAAGAAAGTCAAATAATATCTCATGAAAAAATTTACAAAATAAGACCCGAAGTTTAATGAAAAAATTTTAAAAGAAAACCCTATCAATTTTTATTATTATAATATTTCTATAATAAAAGTAAGGACTCTTTAGTACTTTTTCATAAAAATAAACTAACATTTGGCTAATGTAAAATTTGAACTCTAAACTTCTATATAAATATCCAATATAAATTCTAATATATCATTACTCTTTCTTTATCATAAAATTAAAATTAATTAATTATCAATTGGAAGGAAATTTATTTAATTTAAAATTTAGATTCATTACAGATGTTATTCAGTAATTTGTTTATAAATATTTATTTCATTTATGTGCTTTCTTGGAATCAAGTCCTATTAACATTTGCCATGATAGTTCAATGATTTAAGACCTAATTTTAAAACTTTATAGAGCTATTCTATTTTAAAGTGTATTACATTTTTATGAAAGCTGTTGTTTCTTTGACTCACACAATTATTTTAAACTTTTCCTTTTACTTCATGTTCTATTATTTATTGTTGAGACGTTATTCACTAAAAATTATTATTTGTCTCAGATACGTTAGCTGGTGTTGTGCCTTTCGCTAATCCTTGAGGGGTTGTAATATTCAGTTGAGATGAAAAGCTGAAATCAAACTTCTTTAAAGTAAATTTCTTATGTCTTCTTTGACTCACACAATTAGTTTAAACTTTTCCTTTTAATTCATGTTCTATTATTTATTGTTGAGACGTTATTCACTAAAAATTATTATTTTAGTCTCAGATACATTAGCTGGTGTTGTGCCTTTCACTAATCCTTGAGGGGTTGTAATATTCAGTTGAGATGAAAAACTAAAATCAAACTTCTTTAAAGTAAATTTCTTATGTTAGGTGCTCCACATAAGCTATAATTAGGGTCCTCATCCTTATAATTTATCCTTTGTTATTTATTGATCGGTAGAGAGTTCCTTGCTGCTACTATTATTTTGTAAAATATTTGTAGATTTATTTTTGGGAGATTTTATTTCAAGGGGAGATTCTATCAAATTTTTTTAAAATATTAAATCTTTTTTTCGCATGATTTATATTGAGGATGGCTTAATTTATTATCAAATGTCTTCATGGCTTATAAATTAGAGTTTTCTTGAGTAAAGACTTTTGAGATATGGATATTATCCTTATATTCTATGCCAAACATGTCCTATTTTCGGCGTGTGACATTATAATTTGATAATAAATTTGTATCCATGTATTCATATACAGGAACGTGAACTATTCATTAGGCGAATAATGTATTTGATTTCTAATTTCAGACCAGGTTCAGTTTATCTGGTTAATAGTTATTCTCAATAAAATTTTCAACCCTTTATGTATGTGTGTGTGTGTAATTAGACCATCAATAATTGCAGCCCTTCGTTTCTCAGCCTTTCACAAAATGGCCAAGCAAAATTCCGTAGCCTTCATTTGTTTGTCTTTGATTCTTCTTGTATTCACATCATCAATTCCATTACCATGTGGCGCTAGTGACAAAAAAGATGATGATGATCGGAAAACTTACATCATCTACTTGGGATCACTTCCTCAGGAATCATCTTACTCTCCGACCTCACACCACCTTAGTATTCTCCGACATGTTTCTAATAATGGCGTCAACTTCGACGACGTCAATGAAGATGTCACAGACTCCTTGATTCGAAGCTACAGTAAAAGCTTCAACGGGTTTGCAGCAAAACTCACAAATGATCAGAGGGACAGGATGGCTGAGATGGAAGAGGTTGTCTCAGTTTTTGAAAGCAAAACATATCGAACCCAGACAACAAGATCATGGGACTTCCTGGGATTCACCGAGAAAGAAGCCGCAGCAAGAGTAGCACGCAACTCGTTATCATCTACAGAAAGTGATGATGTTATAGTCGGAGTTATTGACAATGGAATATGGCCAGAGTCTGAGAGTTTCAGTGACGAATGTCTGAGAGGTGTTCCTAAGAAATGGAAAGGAACTTGTGCTGGTGGGAAGAACTTCACATGCAACAAGAAGATAATCGGAGCTAGGGTTTATCCGAAGGATCGTGATACTGCAAGAGACCAAAACGGCCATGGAACTCACACTGCCTCAACAATAGCTGGGGATATAGTTCCCCATGTTAGCTTCTATGAAATAGCAAATGGTATAATTGTAAATACAATAACTTTTTATGGCTTAGAATTCCAGGCTTGGGCTCTAATGCCGCACCTTTTAGTTATATAGATCCTATTTGTTTTTTTTTCCCCCCTTTGGATCATTAGCTGTTTCAAATCCTGAAATCTTGCGGTCATGGAACGCACAATTTTTTATTTTTATTATTATGAACAAGGTTTTTTAAACTTCATGAAATTAACTTTCTAACCTAGCTCTAGAACCGATTTAAATAACGCTGGTTTTAATCCTTATGAGAATTCAGTAAACCTGCATAAAAGTGGTCCAATGTGATTTATCTTCTTTTAAATAAACTTGTAAAAATATACAAAATTATGCCATTCCATGACTGCAAGATTTCAAAATGTAGAAGCACTGTAATGATCTAAAGGAAAAAATTGAAAAGGTGCGATATTACAAGAGGTATTATTAAAGCCTCAAACCTTGGAATTTCATATCAAAAATTTTTGAAAAAAAATATAACTTTTAGTTCCCAAATTTTTTCTCATCTATCAAACTTTGGACAGAAATAGCTCAGTTCTTATAGTTTCTTAACTTAAAATAAGTTGATTCTTATAGTTTTTAAACTTACTATAACTTAATTTCTATAATTTTTTAACTCAATTGTATGGGTTGAATTGTATTCGGTCAAAGTTTAGAAGCTAAACCAATAATTAGAAAAAAACAAAATTTAAGGACTAGAAGTTATAATTTCTTATCTTTTTAACTATAAACTATTTGAAACTCTATTATTATTGGAGCTTTAGAAAGATGTGTTTTTTAAATCTGGCAAGTGATATTTGAACTGAACAGGTACAGCAAGAGGAGGGTCTCCATCTGCAAGAATCGCTGCATATGTAGCTTGTGATTATAACGGACTCATTTGCACAGGACAAGATATCTTAGCCGCTTTTGATGACGCCATTTCAGATGGCGTCGACATCATTTCAGTGTCCTTAGGGTTTTCAGACATCCTTGATTTTCTCAGTGACGCCATAGCCATCGGATCTTTCCACGCAATGAAGAGCGGAATCCTCACAGTCCATTCCGCCGGCAACAGTGGCCCAGAGATCGCCACCGTCGCCAGTGTCGCACCATGGATCCTAACCGTTGCTGCAAGTACTACAGATCGCAAAATCATTGACAAGGTTGTTCTTGGGAATGGCAAGACACTAACCGGTGTTTCCATTAATGCTTTTAACTCAAATGGGTCAAAGTATCCGATAGCTAACATAAATGGTGATCCGTTGACTTGTCCTAAAAATAATTCACGTGATTGTCCTTGTCTTGACGACACAGACTTGGTCAAAGGTAAGATTGTGTTATGTCGAGAACTACCTCAAGGCAAGAACGTTAAGGAACATGGTATTGTGGGTGTGATCGAAAATGCAATTCGTGATTACGCTGAGGTTGTGTCGCTACCCTCACTGGAGATTCCCAAGGAGGGTTTTGAAAGTCTTGTGTTGTACACAAACTCAAGTAAAGATCCAAGAGCTGAGATTATGAAGAGTGAGGTTGTGAGAGATAAAACTGCTCCAAAAACAGCTTTTTTCTCTTCACGTGGACCTAATCTCGTAGTTGCAGAGATTTTGAAGCCTGATATAAGTGCCCCAGGGGTTGATATCTTGGCTGCATATTCACCTCTTGCATCAGTTTCAAGCAGTTCAGAAGACAAAAGATCTGTGAGATACAGTTTTTTATCAGGAACTTCAATGGCTTGCCCTCATGTTTCTGGAATAGCTTCATATTTGAAGGCCCTTCACCCAGATTGGTCACCTGCAGCTATAAAATCAGCCATTTTAACCACAGCAAAACCCATGAAGAAAGTTGAAGTTTTGGATTTGGTTGGTGAGTTTGAATATGGATCAGGACTTCTGAACCCAGTACAGGCCAGTGATCCTGGGTTGATTTATGACATATCTGAAGAAGATTACGTGAGAATGTTATGCAACTTAGGGTTTAACACTACACAAATTAAGCAGATTTCTGGAGGTAATTATAGCAGAAGATGTCCTAGCTCTTCTCACACAGACATGGTGAAAAATCTTAATTATCCTTCACTGGCGGCTAAAGTTGAGCCTTTGAAGTCATTCACTGTTCAGTTCAATAGGACAGTGACAAATGTTGGACTTGCCAAGTCAACGTTCAAAGCAAGTATTTCATCACCAAGTTTTAATAATATGACTTTGACAGTGAAACCTAAGGTTCTGAGGTTCAAATCATTGAATGAGAGGAAATCTTTTGTGGTCGATGTTCGTGGAAAGGAACTTTCGGATCGTTCAGCAATCTCATCGTCGTTGGTATGGTCGGATGGCAGACACGTTGTGAGAAGTCCAATTGTTGTGATGGCGTATAACACTCCTTAATTAATTAACTAATTAGGATCGATCGACTGCAATTTCTTATTTGTTATCTATAAATTTGATGTCCTTCTTATATGATATATGCTAGAAAAATAAATTTATAAAATAAAATCTAGTTCCTTCTCTACAACGAATTTCCCTCCTCACATCACCCAACAAGAGATATCCTAGAATATATGGGAAAACATAATTATTAATTTTTATAATTTTATGATATTTTGTTATTAGTTCTTATATATTTTTTTTAAATGTTCTAGGTCTTTATAGTTTTTCCCATGTTAGTCCTTCTATTAGAGGGATAATTGTAATGACTCTAGAGAAATATGAAATTAACAAAATTAATTAGTAGCATATTTTGATCTTACTAAGTTTTGGAATAAATATGACGAGAAACGTCAGTGTGCTGGTGGAGAATTGGCTGGTAGCTTATCCTTTTGGTTTCGAGTTCGAATCTTGTAGTGCAAAATGAGAAATTTCATTTTTGCTTCAGTTTTCAAAAATTACCAAAATGCACCTATTGATAAAGGAAAATAAAATACAGCACACTATTGGATTTTTTTTTTTTAACCGGCTCTCTTCTCCATCTTCATTTGAGAGTGCCGACAAAGATGAGAGGGATCTTGAACCTTTGAGACCTAATGACTCTATATTTTCATGTATTTTGAGAAGTTTTATTAGTTAATTAAAGAGTCATCTAGTTATTTTTAATTAATTATCTTGTGTTTAGAGTTTATTTTGATGTTACTTAGCTTGTCTTGTAAATATTGTATTTTGATTTTGTTTTAGAGGATTTTTTTTTTGTTAATTATAGTCATTTTGGATTTTAGGAAACTCTAAAAGAACTTGAAAGAGGTTAAGAAAGAAAATATAATGATTTTAATGAAGAAATTGAATTATTATGATCACCTGCTACAGTAGCCACCATAGTGGGTCAATATTATAAGGCAAATTTTGAATTAGAAATATGGCCCACTATAGTGAGTTTCGCACCAGAACGCACAGTTTCAATTTTTCTATCTAATAAAAGAGAAAAAGTAGGGTATTTTGAGGGAGGCTTTGTTTTTTACATTTTCTAAAGGTCCAAAGGTGATTTTGAAAAGCTTGAGACGATTTTGGATGTTTCACACTAAAACGCACAGTTTCAATTTTTCTGTTTGATAAAAGAGGGAAATTAGGATTTCTTGAGGGAGGCTTTATTTTTTACGTTCTCTAAAGGTCCAGAGGCAATTTTGAAGAGCTTGGGACGATTTTGGAGCTTTATGTTTCCATTGATTTTTTCTTTACTTTTCTTTTCTTTCTCTTGTACATTTGACTTAGTCCTATTATTTCGCTATTTTGAGATTGTATTTAGTTATGTATAGTTGAATCTTGATGCTCTAAAGTTCTATGAACTCATTTTCTCTAGTTGTATCTTAATTTACTGATTACTTTATGATTAATAGATGTTTTATGTTTTAATTCTAGTTTTTATTGATGTTGCTTGATAATTGGCCACCATTAAGTGATAACTTGGAGGAACAGAATGAACTTAAAAAAGAAATTTCTATTTAGACCATTCGAATTGAATGCTTAAGATTAATTATAGCAATTTGCCTCTAGGACAGGAATGTACTTAAAGGACATAAGTGGTTGGAAGGAATTTAAACTTAATGCTCTTAATCTAATTTTAGCAAGGAATTATTGGATTAGAATTAAGTAAGATTTTGAGTAATCGAAAGATATTTAAAAATTAATTCTAATGTCCTAACCATTAAAATTGAAATTAAAATCAATTTAATTGGTAAGTTAAGTGCAATGGAGAAAATGAGGGATTAAAACTCTAGGGTGCTTTCCTAATTATTTCTTGACTTTAGAGTGTTTTAAAATCTCAGTTGCCTACTTTACATTTTATTTTATTCTTAACTTGAATCATTCATCACTTTAATGTTGCTTACTTAACTTGAATGAAATTGGGAATTTAGTGTCTATTTGCCAATTTAATTAATTCTATGTAAGATCAACCTTGATTTGGCATTAGATACAATTGTGATCCATACACTTGCGGTGTCTTTTTAGTTTTTGTGTGCATCAAGACCCTTCTCTGCAATTCTCCTCCTCTTTCAGTCATCGGCGAGAGTAAGTGGGTAAGGGGTTTTCCTAAGTGCTGTTGCTGGAGGTCACCAAATTCTTCTCCCTTTATTTCATGCTGCCTAAATTTCTCTATATTGTTCATGTCTTGCTTTGGGTGTTAGTGTGTTGCTGGATTCTTCTTCCTCCTCTTTCGTCTATATGTCGCTTATGTATGTGTGAAGTGGAGATCTTTTGCTATGGATTCTTCTTCCTCCTCTTTCGTCTATATGTCGCTTATGTATGTGTGAAGTGGAGATCTTTTGCTACTAGAGGTTGCCAAATTCTTCCACATCTTCCTCTGTCCGTGCTGTCACTTTGCTGTCTTTGTTCATGCTTCTTCCTTCTTTTTCCCATTTGTGTGATTTGTCGTGGGTAAGCTCAAAGGAACCTTCCCTTTTTGTTGTTGCATCACACATTTGATCCCTCAATCATGATCATAGTGATGTCTGAATGATTGGGGTATTAGTCTTATTAGATTTATTGGAAGCTATGTGGATTGAAATTGTTAGTTAGAAATTTGATGATATGCTATGAATTTTTAATGCACTCTAGATGTTTGATAAAATGTCTAGAAGAGTTGGAGTAGAGTAATTAACTATCTTTAATATATTAAGGACTAATATGAGGGATTTAAATTTATTTTGCATAAAGAGATGATTTTAGGAAGCATAGAAAATTTATTTAAATGTTCAGAAAATTTTTAATAGGAGATTTGAAGAGTAAATTTTTTGCTGTGTGGTTGATGACTTATAAACCATGTTATTGTTGCATGATTTGAAATGTGATAAATGGATATTGGTCTATCGTAGCAACTAAGTGTGATGAATCGGTTACTGGAATAAAAAAGATTGATTCTCCCTCATTGTTTGTTGTAACACTTGCCCCGAGTGTTATCCAAAAATCACACAATTTAAATAAATTAAGTGTGGTTAAGGAGTTGATTCTAAAACTAACTTAAGAAACAAATCATTTAAATCACTAAATAGATACACCGTCGCAAAATAAACATTTAAAACCTTTATAAAAATTTATAAGTTCTACCTATAGCGCACGGAAGCAAGTTAGGCAAAAGTGAGTTAAAAAGATACTGTCATAACAGCATTAAATTGCTATCATAACAGCCCTCCCGGGTTAACTTTTGGGAGGCGCCATTCTTAATGATTACTAGTAGTGCACCAAATTTTAAAAAGATTTAACAATCAGATTAAAAATTGGATGTTATAAGTTTATCATTTTTGCTGTCATGACAGCACATTCAGACCAACTTTTAGAGTGCACCATTTCATCATCTGACATCTGATCAGAGCGATTCAGAGCCCATACATCAAAATCAAAGGATACTACAAGCGTACCAAATTTTAAAAAGATCCAACGGTTAAATTAAAATTTGTACATGTTACAAATTCGGCAACTTTACTATCATGACAGCATTAAATAACTGTCATGACAGCACTTTTGAATTAACTTCTGGAGTATACCGTTTCTCTGTATGATGTCCAATCAAGGTGATTCTAAAGCCCACATGAAGATTATAAAATTTTTTACTTGTGATCCAAATCTCATGAAAATCCAACGGTTGGATTGAAATTTGAACACCCAGATGCAAAAGTATAGCTTCTTGGTAAAAATCATTTTCAAAATTGTTCAAATCTCATCCTAATGGTCACAAACCTGTGAGAATACTTTGGACCTATCAATAGGACTAAGAGTACCTAATAGAACATTCAAATTATAGAAAAACTCCTTATATCAAAATTTGACCACCCGGGTGCCATTTCTCAAAATGAACCCTAAACCCCCAAAATGCACGAATCATATAAGAGTAGTCAAAAATTAATTCAAATACCATATATTTATATAAATGCACATGCTAAATATTTTCACTTCACTCAGATATCCCCGTAGGGCCCACGCACCTACTCTCTCTATCCAAGATGTATGTTTGCCCTTAGCATACAATTCGCAATGCAACCATTTTACAATTGTGTGTAAAATCACACATATTCATATATATACACCAAATAAATATTTGCTTGTAGTGAAAACTTTGTCTATTAAATGAATCCATCAAAACCACATACCATAACCAAGTTCTCTAAACACAAGCTTACAAGCGGTAAAAATTCATACACAATCCACACATATGCACATATATGTATAGTCATATCCTACTGGCACCCTAACCTAAATACATTACAATATACTTGCTCAAAAGAAAGGGGTTGCAGATCTTTGCAATCTATAAACAAACCCCTAGCTCGACTCTTTTTCCCATCCATTACTGGATCCTTTGCTTAGACTTGTAAATATTATGAAAAAGGGGTGAGACAACCACAGTCTTAATAACAGAAAAATCAATATTCCTTATTACAAAAAGTCATAGTCAAGTAAATAAATAATAGATTCAAAATAATATATAATTAACTAATTAAAATGTTTGAATGTATGAATAGGCCAATATGATCTTTCCTAACCAATAGAATATCCCTTGACACTCTTTAGCTTGTAGGTAAACCTTACACTCACTGTACCTCCACAGGCATAAAATATAAACCAAGGCATGATCTGGTCTACCAAAGCATTGGTGTCCCTTCAACGTGAATCCTAAGAAGTCAAAGCTAACTCCTCCTAGAGCCAGCCCGACTTACTCTTCATGTGAGAGCTACCTTGGCCTAGGTACTTAACCTCTCATTTCATATGTCGGAATTTTCTCTCCCACTAAAAAGTGTTGAACACTCAATTCACTAACCACTTTAATGTACTAAGCCCACAATACGAAAGGCAACACTAAGTACTAACAGTGAGTCATAGAATATCACAAGGCCATATCTCCCTATTAGTGAACTCCACCGAGATCATGCCTTCTATCCTTTTCTACCTTTCTCGAGTATTAA